AATTTCTGGGACCGGTGCACAGTCGTCTCTATGTTCGGGGTAGAGGGTACCACTAGGTCTTGTCCGTAGTTGAGGAATAACAGGGACTGATGGGTTGTGGCGGAGGGCGCGTTATTATACGCGGATTCTAGCAGCGGAAGGGATTTCTCCTATGTCTATGGGTCGGTACAAGTAGTCCGAATGAGTTGCTCCATAGTTTGATTGACTCGTTCGGTCTGCCCGTCAGTCTGTGGGTGGTAGGAGGAGGAAAACTGCAGTTTGGTGCCGAACTGGTCCCACATGTGACGCCAGAAATTCGATGTGAATTTCGGGTCTCGGTCAGAAATAATTGCGGTGGGCAATCCGTGCAGTCGGATGACGTTGGCGATAAACAGTCGGGCAGTTTGCTCGGCTGTAATTATCTGTTGGCAGGCGATGAAGTGCGCCATTTTCGTGAGTCGGTCAACGACCACGAGGATGGCGTCGTTTCCGCTGGGACCGGCTGGCAATCCCGTCACGTAGTCCATCGTGATATGTTGCCAGGGTCGCTCGGGCGGATCCAACAGCTGTAGTAGTCCGGCTGCTCGCAGATGGGAGGATTTCATGATCTAGCAAGCGGTGCAGGAGGACACGGACTTGTGCACATCGTCGGCCATGTTAGGCCAAAAATAGTTGCGCTGCAACATCTTCAAAGTTTGGTCGACTCTGAAATGCCCAGAGGTAGGGTTGTCGTGGGATTCTTGTATTAGTAGGGTACGAAGAAAATCGTAGCCGGACACCCAGATGCGAGAAGTATCGCGCTTGTTAAAATAGTGTCCGGTGGCGGTGGTATGCTGTTGATGAATAGCCGAGCGGAAGAAAGGGTCGATCTTGTAGCCATGGGCAATTAGTCCAGTAAGTAGTTAGCTGGTTTGGGTGACTTGTATGGCGGCAGTATGGGCAATGGGTCGAGTCAGGGCATCGGCAATATTGTTGGCGCCCCGTTTGTAGGGGATGGTGTAGTGGAAGTTCGACTCGAGGAAATCGAGCCATCGGATCTGTCGCGGGTTGAGATCCGGTTGGGCTCGCAGGTACTGTAAGGATTTGTGGTCGGTCCGCACCATGACGTCAGTGCCAACTTATACATATGCTGTATGTAGAAGTTATAGGCTAGCCTAGGTCTGTGCTTCTAGTGAGTACAACCCCAACAGGTACATGTTCTAGGTTTCTCACACTAGTCCATTCATTCTCTCTTTCTAACATGGTATCATGAGTAGGTTCGGTTCCTCTCGCCCGCCCATGCTTCCGCCCTAGGCCCTAGCCGTCCCGTCCGCTCCTAGACGGCCCCTTGGCCATCGCGCCCGCCCCTAGCTGGCCCCCTGGCCGTCGCGTCCGCCCCTAGCCGGCCCCCTGGCTGTCGCGTCCGCCCCTAGCCGCCCCCCCCCTGGCCATCGCGCCCGCCCTTAGCTAGCCCCCTGGACGTCACGCTCGCCCTTAGCTGGCCCCTTGGGCGTCGCGTCCGCCCCTAGCCGGCCCCCTGGCCGTCGCGCCCGCCCCTAGCTGCCCCCCTGGGCGTCGCGTCCGCCATTAGCCGGCCCCCTGGCCGTCACGTCCGCCCATAGCCGGCCCCCTGGCCGTCGCGCCCGCCCTTAGCTGGCCCCCTGGCCGTCGCGTCCGCCCCTAGCCGGCCCCCTGGCCCTTGCGTCCGCCCCTAGCCAGCCCCCTGGCCGTCGTGCCCGCCCCTAGCCGGCCCCCTGGCCGTCGCGCCCGCCCCTAGCCAGCCCCCTGGCCGTCGCGCCCGCCCCTAGCCGGCCCCCTGGCCGTCGCGCCCACCCCTAGTCGGCCCCCTGGCCGTCGCGCCCGCCCCTAGCCGGCCCCCTGGCCGTCGCGCCGGCCCCTAGCCGGCCCCCTGGCCGTCGCGCCTGCCCCTAGCCGGCCCCCTGGCCGTCGCGCCCGCCCCTAGCCGGCCCCCTGGCCGTCGCGCCCGCCCCTAGTCGGCCCCTTGGCCGTCGCGCCCGCCCCTAGCCGGCCCCCTGGCCGTTCGCGCCCGCTCCTAGCCGCCCCCCTGGCCGTCGCACCCGCTCCTAGCCGGTCCCCAGGTCGTTCGCGCCCGCTCCTAGCCGGCCCCCTGGCCGTTCGCGCCCGCTCCTAGCCGGCCCCTCCTAGCGCCCGCCCAGCCCTCTCTACCGCCCGCCCGGCCCCTGCTAGCGCCCGCCCGGCCCCTGCTAGCACCCGCCCGACCTATTGCGCCCGCCCGGCCACACCCAGCGCCTGCCCGGCCCCGATACGCCTGCCCGGCTCCTGCGGCCCGCAGCTCCCAGTGCCTGCCCGACTCCTGCGACTCCGTGTTTTCTGCTTGGCACGGTTCCTCGGGTCTCCGGCCGCGTGTCTTTTGCTTGCCAACACTGAAGCGTCCTGCAGACGTCCCCCTGGAGCTGTGCTGCTGTGTCCCGGTGCCGTTGTGTCGTGTGGAGCTGTGCCGCTGTGTCCCTGTGTCGCTGACCCTGCACGATGGCTGACTTCGTACTCCGCCTGGACACTGAGGGCCATGCGGTTGACTTCGTCGCCTGGCTGTCCGATCTCCGCCGTCAACTCACAGGTCAGCGCCAGGATGGGCACTCCTTGGTTCTCTATACCGATGGCTTGCTCCCCCGCCCCCCTGCGCCTGCTCCCCTCCCTGCTGACCCCACCTCTGCTGAGCGTGAGACTTTCTCTGCTGCTGCACTTGCATGTGCCGTCTGGGACTCTCGCGATGCAGTTGCTCAGGTCGCTATCAGTCACGCCCTCCCTGTGTCTGAGTGTTCGCATTTTGGTACGGTTGATAAAGCCAAGGCTTACTTAGAACCTGTTGTTGCTCGCTATTCCACGCCTGCCTCTGCTACAGCAGGCCGCCTGCTCTTCCCTATGCTTTTCCCAGACCTTGCTTCCTTCCCTACTGTTGCTGACCTTGCCACTCACCTGCGAGCCCCAGAGTCTTGCTACCGCACTGCTAGCACTGCTGCCCAGCTCACTGCGCTCCCTCCCCCCTTCTGCATGACCCTCTACTTTATCGCCATGCGCCTGCCTGACCGCATTGCTAGTGCACGCGACCACATCCTTAGCCAGCACCCGAGTGATCTCACCTTGCCAGCTTTCGTCACTGCCCTGACCGAGATCGAGACTCGCCAGCGCACTATCGCTCAGTCGAGCGGTGCGCCGGCAGTCTCTATCTTTCACGGCTGTGCCCCCTCCCAGTGCACGTTTACTGACGTTTCGGCTGCGGTTGCCACTGCGACCCCTCTGACCGAGACTGCAGCTGCGGTACACCCGCAGCAGCGCTCGCGCTGCGCCGGTCGTGGCCGCCAGGGAGGGCGTGGTGGTGGAGCTGGTTGTAGTAGTGGTGGTACCCGGGACAGTTGTTCTACTGAGGGGACTGCCTCAGCTAGTCAGGAGCAGCAGCCGTCACCCCAGTAGCAGGAGCAGGCGCCGCAGCCGTCGCAGCAGTCGCAGTCGTCGCAACAGCTGTCTCAGCCCCCGCCGTGGGCTCGCCTCCCCCTGGGATGGCCCGGCACCTCCGTAGGTGGTGGCCGTGGTGGCGGCCTGCGCAGCTTGGCGTCTACCGGCAGCTCCGTTGGTGTGACCTGCCAGTACCAACTTCAGACTGGGCCTCTCCGCGGCACTCTGTGCCACCTCTCGCACCCGACCACCCGCTGTTCCCGCCGCCTCGACGATCTCTTTTGTTGTCGCTTTGGCCCGGCCCTGGACCTCCCCGACTGGCACAGCCTGCTTTGGCAGGGCGTACTCTGTGTACTCTAGTTTAGGCATAGCACCCTTGTGTAGCTTAGCCTCCCCTGCTACGTCAGGCGTAGGAGTGCCTAGTTTGCCTAGCCTAGTTTCTGCACCAGCTCCGTTCCCGGCCTCCGCTACTGCCTCGCTGTCCTTCACTCTCGACTCCGGTGCTTCTGCCTGTTTCTTCCGCAACCGCTCCACGTCACCTAGGTCGCTGCAGCTTGCTCGTGTCAGTCCCTCACACACCCGTCCCTTCTGTGGCACCACCGCTTAGGTCACCCTGCTCTCCCGCGCCTGCGTCACATGTCTCAGCATGGTCTTGTCTTAGGCCTCCCCGAGTCGCTCCCCGCACTTCCCCCCTCGACTGCTCCACTGTGGACGCCTTGCGTCGAGGGCCGGCTCCGCTGTGCCCCTCACTCCTCCTTGCTTCGCCGTGCTACTGCTCCCCTTCAAACCCTGCACCTGGACGTTTGGGGCCCAGCCCCCGTCCCCGGACCGCGCGGTGAGCGCTAGTTCCTTGTGCTTGTCGATGACTACACGCGCTACACCACGGTGTTTCCCCTGGAGCGGAAGGCCAACGTGCCCGACGTTCTTCTCCCGTGGATTGTGGCTGCACGTCTTCACCGCGGTCTCCCCGTGTTGTGTCTCCACTCTGACCGTGGCGGCGATTTCGCCTCTGGTCGGCTTGGACAGTTCTGTCGTGCGGAGGGCATCACCCAGTCGTACACCTTGCCGGACTCGCCACAGCAGAATGGGGTTGCTGAGCGCCGCATCGGCTTGGTCATGGAGGTTGCTCGTACCTCCATGATTCATTCCGATGCCCCCCATTTTCTGGGGCCGTTCGCTGTTCGCTACGCTGCTCACCAGCTTAACCTGTGGCCACGCTCCCAGCAGCCGCGGGTTTCGCCGACCCTCCTTTGGACCGGGTCCCTAGGTGACGCGTTTGCGTTCCACGTCTGGGGTTTCCTTGCTCAAGTTTGTGCCTCTGGCACGGACAAGCTCACTGCCCCCACTGTCCCCTGTGTCTTCCTCGGTTTTCCCCTGGACTCGTCTGACTGGCTGTTCTACCACCCATAATCTCACCGCTTCCTTCACTCTCGTGACGTCACCTTTGACGAGTCTGTCTCCTTCTACCGTTGCTTCCCTCACCGAGGTCTTCCGGTTCCCCCCCCCTTGTTCGTGGCTCCCTCTCTCCCGGTAGCCTCTGCTCCCCTCCCGCCTTGTCCTGCCCCGTTTAGTGTCTCCCATGTCACTCCCCTCCTGTCGGTCAACAACCACGAGGATGGCGTCGTTTCCGTTAAGACCGGCTGGCAATCCACGAGGATTCCTGTATTAGAAGGGTACGAAGAAAATCGTAGCCGGACACCCAGATGCGAGAAGTATCGCGCTTGTTAAAATAGTGTCCGGTGGTGGTGGTATGCTGTTGATGAATAGCCGAGCGGAAGAAAGGGTCGATCTTGTAGCCGTGGGTAAATAGTCTTGTAAGTAGTGAGCTGGTCTGGGTGACTTGTTTGGCGGCAGTATGGGCAATGGGTCGAGTCAGGGCATCGGCAATATTGTTGGCGCCCCGTTTGTAGGTGATGGTGTGGTGGAAGATTGAATCGAGGAAATCGAGCCATTGGATATGTCGCGGGTTGAGATCCGGTTGGGCTCGCAGGTACTGTAAGGATTTGTGGTCGGTCCGCACCATGACGTCAGCCCTTGTCAGGTAGCACCGCCAGGTCTTGAACACGTGGACGATCGCCAGCATTTCCTTGTCGTGTACTGTATAGTTTTTCTCCTTGCCCTGTAGCTTCCGTGATTCGTAGGCGACTGGCTGTAACCCGTCGCCGAAATCTTGTAGGAGAACTGCGCCGATGGCGATGTCGCTGGCGTCGGTGATGACTTCGTATGGACGGTCAGGATCGGAGATGCGAAGAACAGGCGGCGACGTGAGGGCGATCCTCAGTTGGTAAAATGCAGCTTGCTGCTTCTCTCCCCACAAAAAACAATCGTGATCCTTAAGTCGATCGGTTAGCGGGGCGGATAACCCAGCCATATCGGGGATTAAGCGGCGGACGTAATTGATGAAACCCAAAAAACTTTGCAGCTCCTTTATGTTGGTTGGCGGCTTCCACTCCTGTATGGTCTTGATTTTCTTGGGGTCGATTTTCACTCCTTCGGTCGAGACGACATGGCCCAAAAACTCCAACTCCTACTTAAGAAAGTCGCACTTAGACCAGCTGTACATTAGTATGTCGTCGAGGTAGATAATAATGCATTTATCCAAGAGTTCCTTGAAAACGCCGTTCATGGTCATCTGGAAGGTTGAGGTTTCGTTCGTGAGGCCAAAGGGCATCACTAGGTATTCGTAGCTGCCGTAGCGGGCTCGAAAGGCGGTTTTGTGTTAATCTTCAGCGGCGACACGAATTTGATGGTAACCTCCTTGCAAGTCGATTTCGAGAAGAACTTGGCTCCGCGAAGTTGGTCGAGTAGGTCGTCAGCTCGCGGGATCGGGTAACGCGACTTGATTGTGATCCTGTTGAGTGCGTGGTAGTCGATGCACATGCGGAATCCTCCATCCTTCTTCGGGGTGAACAGTATCGGGGCGGCGTATGGGGACGTGCTGGGCCTGATAAAACCCTTCGTCAGAAGGTAATCCAGCTGCTGCTGCAATTCTTCCAGTTCTGGTTGGCTGAGCCGAAATTGTCGCTGCACTGTCGGTTTGGTGCGTGGTTCCAGCTCGATGCGATGTTCTTCTGGTCGGCTCGGCGGAAGTCCAGTTGGCAGGTCGTCCGGGAAAATCTCGGGGTATTTTCGAATGAGGTCTGCTAAATCCGGAGGAACGGCTTCGCACAGCTTCGCGATATCTTCGGCTGTTGTCGGCAACGTCACCTCGCAAAGATCAACGGCGTACACTGTAGCTCCCGCTTTTATCGCGCGCTTGAAAGTTATCGCATGGACTTGGGTGCTTCGCATGCGAGGCCCCGTCCATTTTGGTAGCTCGCAATGAATCCCATCGAGTTTGATGCTGCAGCCGCCCGTCGTCCAGTCGATCGTCGTATTGTACTATCGCAGCCAATCCCGCCCCAGCAGTACGTTGCATCCGTCGAATGTAGTCGCCAGCAGCCCCATCCGAAATATTACGTGCTCCCCGCAATGAAAACTGACGCTCTCCACTCACTCCCATATAGCCAGCGGTGTTCCATCCACTATTCGGGCGTCAATTTTGGGTAGACACTGTCCAGCCCTGTCCAGCTGTATGAGACTGTGACTCGTGCCTCCGTCCACGAAAATCTTCAGCAACACCCCGTTGACTTTACCCTGCATCAACACAGGGTGATCAGCAGTTTCGTCCCCCTTATTCGTCCGGGTCCGGTCGATTGCAGCAATTGGGATCACGACCTGGTGGGGACTATGTGGCTCGGGCGAAGAAGCCTGCCCGTCAGTAAGGGGCCCGGTACTTACTGACGCGACCCATTTCCCGGTCGCTCCTCCGGATTCTTCCCCATAGAATTCTGAGTGGCTATGATTTCTGGGCAGTTGCGTCGGATGTGACCCGGTCGGCCACACTGGTAGCATAACCACGTATTGCGCGGAGCAACTGCGTAAATATCCACTTTGTCCATCCCTTTTATCGTGGCGCGTTGGTACTGTTCTCGAGGGCGACCTTCGTCGTAGAAGTTCGTCCTCGGCTTCGTGAGCAAATCAGCGGCTTCGACGAGCTGGATGAAGTCTTGTAACCACTTCGCAGGGCGTTGCAGTTTTATCTGGTATTGTATTTCAGGCTTCAGCCCGCCCATGTACCTGTCGACCTTCTCCAACTCGTGCATGTAGCCACATCTATCCACCAACGTCAAGAATGACGCGGTGTACTCGGACACAGATCCCAGATGCTTCCACATGCGTAGAGTCTCATGCGCTTTGTCTGAGTCAGGAGCATGCTCAAACTGCTTGCGAAGCTCTGCTCACCACGTTGCCCACGTGCGAATGTGGGTCGCACCAAACAGCAAATCTGCCTCGTCTTCGTCGCCGAATTCTTCGGACCACTCATGCTGTCCTTCTGTGCGAGTTTCTGCTGAGTCGACGATGACCTTCCATCATTGTAGGGCGGCCCCTTGCAACAGTGTTAACGCATGGCTGATCCGCTTCTGATCATCTCGGATGCCTGCCGCGTTGAAATAAATATTCATGGCGAATATCCACTGCCGCACCATCACGCCTTTATTAGCTGGGTCGAAAGGAGCGAGTTGCTGATATCTCATGCCGCCACTTGTCGAGCGCGGGGCTGTTGCCGCTAGTCGTGCCAGCTCCACTGGCGACGGTTGCTACTCACCCGCCTCACTTCGTGCATCGTCGCCCGGCTCCTCTGAACGCCTCTCCTGCGCCTGGCGAAGTCGTTGGTTCTCGTCGCGGAGGTTGTTGACGACGCTTGTCAAATCATTCAACTGCTCCATTAATGCTTGCAAGTCCATAGTTTCCCGGGCAGGGTTCGCAGCAGTTGAGGTCGTCCGTTCCTCAACCGTCAAGTCTACCGGAGCCATGGCGGTCAGGACGGGGCAGAAGCTAGCGCACACGCTGTAGTTGTTGACGTAAAAATATTTACGATCGAAGACAACTGCTGTGCAGCCGTGCTAATCCCCTCTGACCACCCTTCTACTTAAATGGGAAAACAGAAGATTCCTGGAAAGTTCGGGCTCTGATACCAGCTGTTATGATATAGGAAGTGTTAATGTACTATAACGTGAGAATACAAGGTCACTATTGCAATGAAGGCACGATGTTATATAAGGGTTGGCGTGCTAGGGCGATAACCTCGGAACGTGGGTAGGTTCGGCAATGTGGTGACAGTGCCGGACGCGACTCGGGAAAGGGTTGGGCCGATAAATGAGGCCAAACGTGACGAGTCGAGGAGTTCGGGTGTATGCGCTAGCGTACAACTCAGTAAGGAATGGAAATTCCTTTCAAACACTTGAGTTGAAACAACCTGCGTTTTGGGACTCGGCAAACACACAAAACCTCTCTGATTTCGATGGTCGAGATTTGTCGATCTCGGATGTGCAGCTCGGTACTGATTGAAGGTCGCCTTTTCGGTTTGGCCCAAAGTTCAAGGGATTTTACCAAACTTCTTTCAGCAGACAGCACGGGGGGAAAATTGCTGCAGCGGACTCTCCACGAAACTTTCATACTTTCGTGGACAAGCCCTACTTTCATGGACACCACATTGAAGTTTTGCTTCTCCCGTGGACTCCGTCAATACTTTCGTGGACTCCCGGCTTACTTCCATGGACACATGCATATTCGCAGTTAAAAAGGAGTATACAGCAATGTACAAGTGATTACGGGCATAAAAATCGAAATACTCCAGACAATCTGTCCGTCGCAAGTAATCGCGAGCTACAGTGTCGGAAACCAGTTTTGAAACAGAATCTTGCAGCTTTTCTGGGAAGAGTTTGCAGCCACACTCAAATATGCAGTAAAGTTTCAAACACATAGTGTATTAGGGTCCGTGTGATAGAAACGCCTATTATTCAAATCCGAGCTACTCAACAAAAACATAATATGCACGTGCTTGACGAGCTAGCATTAAAGCGAGAAGGTAAAATAGTGAAGGCTGGCCCAACTTGAAAGAGGGCTCCCTCTGGTAACTTCTCTTGGAAACCTCGGCTGACAAATCACTGTTACAAAGTGACGCGGGTAGGAAAAATGAAGGGGTTTTTAGTTGTTCGGTTACTGTTACTTGCGATCCGCGCACAGTAGTCACGTTTAGCACACAGAGAGGAGGGTTTTGTCGCTTTCTGAGCAGCGAAGGGAGGTTTAGCGTTCATCTAGGTTAATTCGTCTCTCGTTGGATCGCGTTTCACAATTTGATTGGTTACACACTGTACCTCGGCATTTCGCTGTTCTTAGCAACTGTTCCCGAAAATCTCCGTCAAGTACAGTGCACATCGCTGAACAAACCTGGAAACATAGTGAGCCTCGGGTACCGTCAATTTCTGACGGCAAAACTAACAGCGAATTAATTTTCAGACGAAAAATACATGACGATAATATTCAATATGGGATAGCGGATTAGTGCGACGGGATGGTTCACTTACATTTCATTCTGACATTATATAATATTATTCTTTTTACAATTATATTTTGAGCCCATGATGTTTTACCATGGAATTCCATGATATTCATCAATGATATAGATCTTTCAAGAAGTTTGCCAATGCTTGGCTGAATATTTTCAAGAGTAGTTCGCATATTAATAATGGCTTGGACGTATAGTATGGTCCGCTTTGTAAAGAATGTTGTAATGTAAAGTCCTTTTGAAAATTCTCGGTCAAGTGTTGAATTTGTTTTGAAAGATCTACATTGTTTATGAAGATCATGGAATTTCATGGCAAAAAAATCATGAGTTGAATATAGTACAAAAATGTTTATTACACAACATCGAAATGAAATGTAAGTGAACAATCCCGTCGCACTAATCCACAATCCCATACTGAGTATTGTCGTCATGTTTTATCTGTCTGAAAAATAAGTTCGCTGTTAATTTTCCCGTCAGAAATTGACGGTACCCGAGGCTCATTCTGTTTCCAGGTTCGTTCAGCAACGTGCTTAGTAGTTGACGGAGATTTTCGGGAACAGTTGCTGAGAACAGCGAAATGCCGAGGTACAGTGTGTAACCAATCAAATTGTGAAACGCGATCCAATGAGAGACGAATTAACCTAAATGAACGCTAAACTCCCCTCGCTGCTCAGAAAGCGACAAAACCCTCCTCTCTGTGCGCTAAACGTGACTACCGTGCGCGGATCGCAAGTAACAGTAACCGAACAACTAAAAACCCAAAATGAAGGGTGAACTCAAAGCTGATTGGATCGTGCCAACATGATCCTTGCGAGACGAAACCCATGATGTGCCAACGGTGTATGTCTGACAATTTTTCCTCGTTAGGGTTAGCGTTTTCCTGTGCGACTGTTGCACGGCGAGTGCATGCGACGGGTTGAGGCTTTTGGATCAAGTTGGGCCCAACTCGGTTTTCAAGCTGGGCCTGTGTTTATAATTGCTGCAAATAACACTTCTCCATTTCCGCTGCGAAGCTCATTTTCCGGCTAGTTGAAAGCTAGTAACAGGCGCTTAGTTACCTAGTTCCGCGCGTTGACCCCTGGTTTTTTCCAGCTTAGTGCCTGGGAACGGTGTGGAAAATGTGGCGCGGCGAGATAGGGAGACATTGGCGCGGCGAGAGGGAAAGAGAGATAGTTGCGTGGCAGGAGACAGAGAGTAGCGCGGCTGGAGAGTCAGAGTAGCGCGGCAAGAGAGAGAAAGAGTAGCTCGGAAGAGAGAGAGTAGCGCGACGGGGGAGAGAGAGAGAGAGAGAGAGAGAGAGAGAGAGAGAGAGAGAGAGAGAGAGAGAGAGAGAGAGAGAGAGAGAGAGAGAGAGAGAGAGAGAGAGAGAGAGAGAGAGAGCAGCGCGGTTGGAGAGAGGGTGTAGCGCGGGAGAGAGATAGGGAGAGTGTAGCGCGGCGGGGGAGAGAGTGTAGTGCGCCCCTGCGCCCGTTACTACCATTCATCCAATTTTCGTATGGCACCCCATCGCTACTTTACCTCGACGCGGGGTTCGGCAGCCCCCCTCTCACGAGCGCACGGGGCGTCCTCCAAGGGGACCCAATGGGCCCATTGCTCTTCGCAGCGGCCATCCACCCCGCGCTTCAATCCACGGCTACCGCCCACCCCAACGTCCTATGCCTCACCTACGCGAACGACGTGACGTTCGTCGGCGAACCCACCGCCTGCACAGCCGCCTTCCATCACTTCACGGGCGCCATGGGGGCCATTGGCCTCACACATAACCCCTCGAAGTGTGGGGTGTGGTCCTCCACACCTCCCCCGCCCGTCGTCCTTCCCCCGGACGTCCCTTTTCACAGCGATGGGCTACGGGTGTTGGGGAGTTTTGTGGGGACACCGGGGGGCTCGGCTAGCTTCCTGCGCTCCCAGCTAGCCTCGCTGGCCGAGCCACTCACAACCATCGCCTCCATGGACCCCCAAACGGCGTCTCTCCTCCTGACGCGATGCATCTTGCGGCGGGTTAGCTACTTGACCCGCACCACGCCCCTGGACTTCCTCCCACAAACCGAGTGGTTCGAGTGGGGAAGAGGGTTATTCCACACCCTACTCCGCACGTGCAACCTCCAACCTCCTCGGGGGGAGGCTGAGCGCGCACGCACCTGGGCCCAGGCCTCACTCCCGCCCTCGCTAGGCGGGCTGAGCCTCACCGACCCCGCCATCGAAGGCCCCGCAGCCTTCCTAACCAGTGTCACCCAGGCGCAGCACCTCCTAGCCGCCCTGCCAGCAGCGTCCGATGGGCCCCTGGCATCCGCACTGCGCTCCCTCACCCCCCCCTTCTCCAGCCCCAACCATCTCCATACCTGGCTGGCGGGGTGTGAGGCGGCCCTGCCGTCTCGGGCACTAGAGCTCCTGCGCTCCGAACGCCAGGAACCATCTGGAACTCCACTCCAGCATCGGCTCTCCCTCGAGGTCCAGGCCGTACGATATGCGGACCAGGTGGCAGCATCCCGGGGGATGGAGCTGAACCCCAGCTCTGGCCACACAGCGCCTGTTCTCCCTGGCAGGTTACGGGGCAGGGGATTGGATCCATGCCATCCCCATCTTCCCCTCTCTCCGCCTCGGACCACCGCACTTTGCCATCGCCCTCGCCTTCCGTCTCGGCCTCCCCTTCCCAGCCCCACGCAACTGCAACTGTGCAGAAGAGACGGCGATCCTTGACCCCCGGCTGCCCAACCACCTTTTCCGCTGCGGCACGGGGCATGGCCGGACAGACACCCACAATGCACTCCGTGACGAGTGCATCCGTATGGCACGGGATGTCGAGTTCATTGTCACCAAAGAAACCACCATCTACAGCCCTGTGGACGGTCATAAGGCCAACCTTGCCATACGCGACCGAGACTCCGGTGCCGTCTGGATCTGTGACGTCACTGTCACGGATCCCATCAGCACCCGGGACCCGCAAGCACGCAAGAGGCGAGGATACATGGCCCGGGAGCAGGCCGATAAAAATATTTACCACTATCGTAACCGCGCACCTTATGTCGGTTTCTTCCCCTTGGCCGTGGAGACCTATGGCTCAGCTTTCTGAAGCTCCTGGCGGACACAGGAGCAAGATGGCTTTTCAACGCGGACCCAAGCTCCTACCAGGCGGCGAAGCTCCTGCATCAGTTCCGCCAACGCTGGTCCGTCACGCTCCAGCGGGCACAGACCCCAGCGGAGTACCCCCTTGTGGGTACCCCTGATGCCGTCATGGGCCTAGGGGACTGTTTTGCCATAGCGGAGCCCCTCGGGGAGCTCCAGTAGTCCGGCTGCCCACCCCCAGCATGCACGTACCTTTTATAGGCTCTGAAGTTTGCCCACATGCCTCGTATGTACAACGTTTCAATCAATACAAAGGACTGCTTGAGAGAGAGAGAGAGAGAGAGAGAGAGAGAGAGAGAGAGAGAGAGAGAGAGAGAGAGAGAGAGAGAGAGAGAGAGAGAGAGAGAGAGAGAGAGAGAGAGAGAGAGAGAGAGAGAGCGAGCGAGAGAGAGAGTAGCGCGATGGGATAGAGAGAGAGTGGCGCGGTGGGAGAGAGAGAGAGCGAGAGAGAGAGAGAGAGAGAGAGAGAGAGAGAGAGAGAGAGAGAGAGAGAGAGAGAGAGAGAGAGAGAGAGAGAGAGGGAGAGAGAGAGAGAAGTGGCAAGATAGAGTGTGTAGCGCCGCGGAAGAGTGTAGTGCGGCGCGACGAGAATGACATGGCGCGGTGAGAAGGAGAGCGGATGAGAATTTCGCTGCAAAAGAGGATGTGGCGCAGGGAGATGGCGGCAGTCCCACTCCTTTCAATGAGCACTCACCCTCTCCCTCCCTCTCTCTCCTCACCTTTCCCTCCGTTTACGTGCCTCTCCCTGCCTCTCCCTCTCTCCCGTCACCTCTCCTTCTATTTCCGCACCTCTCCTTTTTCCGCACCTCTCCGTCTATTCCGTGCCTCTGCTGTCTCTCCGTGCCTCAAACTCTATCTCCGCGCCTCTCCCTCTCTTTCCGCCCACTTCCCCTCTCTCCGCCCCTCTCCTTCGCTTTCGCAAGGGCTTTCCTTCTCGCGTTGCCGTTCTGAACACCTCTCCCGCTCACCGTATCTCTCCCACTCTCCGCACCTGTCGCCGCGCATCTCTCTGTGTGTCATGGTTTTTGGTATTTTGCACTCAGTATTTCTCTTGCACGTTTTATTTTGCAGGTACTTTGAAGTGACATCTGAGGGGAAATGCATGCCTTGGCTCTCAAAATCAAGGTCCTCAACTCGTCTTTCGCAGAGTAGCGGGATGGCTTGTGATTTGCGAGAATCATGCAAAATGTTCATTCGTATTTTTGTCTCCAGTTTTCGCACAGACACAAGCTGGCCCCCCAAAAAATAGTTGTCTTGCTTGTTTCCAACCAACACACTCTTGAGCTGACCTATTACGAGTTGGGTCCAACTTGAAAGGGGGTTCACTATTGTAGCCTCTCGCTTTAATCAGCAGTTGTTTTCTCCTTCATAATACATTATTTTATTATTAGGAATTATGTGAACAAAAAAATAGCACCAGAGAAAGATATTTTTTTCAGAATCACTTGCTTTTATTTGCATTAGTATGTTTCTCGTTCAAAACATATTCCCAAGATTGTGAATCTAAAATACTTGTGTAATTTTCTCATCTATTATTATTTTAATATGGACAAAAAAAAAACATCAAGACCTGAAACCTTCCATCTATACAGCCATGTTTACCAAACGTTATTGGTATTCGCAGATTTCACATCTTCATTGACAATGCAAGCCAAATATTAGTTGAAATATTTGGAAATGCCAGAATTTATGGTATCCCCGATTTTTGGTTGGCAGAAATTCCAAACCGTTATCTTGGGACTGCTATGATTTTTACTGAGCTCTATTAACCTTGTAACCATAATATCTATCTATATTCTACACGTGAATCTTTTGTAGCGAGATTTCGCCTACTCGATCTACCACACTTGTCGTTCAACTATACGCGCTTCCTCACAGTCATTCAAATGAATTTTGAGGATCGCTTAAGAGCTTCTTTAAACACGCGAAACACCTAGCGGACTTGGTGGCTTGCAATTACTGTAGCTTGCGACTATTTGCGAGGGACTTGATCACGCCATAATTTTGTTTTTTCCTCCCGTCAGAATCTATACAGCTCTATATGTTTTTTTGTTTCAAATTCGCGTGTGTCCATGGAAGTATGTCTGGAGTCCACAAAAGTATTGACGGAGTCCGCGGGAGAAGCAAAACTTCGATGTGGTGTCCGTGAAAGTAGGGCCTGTCCACAAAATTATAAAAAGTTTCGTGGACAGTCAGCGGCAGCAATTTTCCCCAAAACAAATGCTTCTGATTGGGTGTCAGCAACCACCTTTCTAGCTACGACAGCAAAATTTCATGGGTTTGCGATATTTTCTCTGAATTCGCTACAACCATAGCTCACATTCATACGCACTGCGTATAAACAATTTGGGTAGCGGGCTTTAACTAACTTATTGTGACCAAGCAATTTACACATGCGCTAACTACAGTATCTATCAAACATGCATGTATTTTCCCAACATTCAGTTGAAGACTTAAAGCAAAAGTATCCAATAACTTCATGCTTCAAAGGACCTTGAACCTTCCGAGTGGCGAACACTTGACACGCCCACACAATGGAAACTTGGTAACCCTGTTGGCCCGCGAGAGGGGAAACTTGGCAGGAGCAAATGGGTGATTTGCCGAGCGACAACGTTACGACGCAGGATCAGCATTCCAGAACGCGCATCTCACCAACCCACCAAGATCCAAAGTGCCTTGGAATTTACTATGCACTCCTAGGTCATGACCTTGTCCCCCGCCCTTCTCGTCGAGCAAGGACAGCGCACGTCGCGCCGATTCGAAAAACTGCGAGTTTTAAAGGAGCGTGAACCACACTCGGTTTAGGAGAGTCTTTTCCAGCCCTCGGTTTTGCTCTCGCTTTCGCGAGAGTCGCCCTTCCTGCCACCGCATCGCGTGGACACCGCCGTTGGACCGCCGCTTCGAAACCGCGCTTTGCTAACGCGCTTTCTGACCATCTTAGAGTTGTAGGGCACGATTCAGTTTTACTGTGACCCGTAGGCTCTCTTCGCACGCGCCTGCTCTATTCTCACACGCGACACCATCATCCTCTACCTGCTTGCAAGTTTGCGAACGGCTCTCAGGCGTAGTGGAGTCCGAGCAAGCCCCCATATTGGTTTTGAACCACCCTGATTGATCAGTATCGACTTGGAAAAAAAAAAAACAAAAAACTTTCCGTCAGGGTCAGTACGAAACACAACCCTGATTTTTCAGAGTTGGTACCGGTTTCAACACTATGCATCAGGGTTGTGTTTGCTTTGGACACTGATTTCCCGGATTGAATTTGTCCCCTAGTTTTTTTTAAGTCAACTCCTGTCCAGTAATAAACAAGGTCAAGAGCATGACATTGCCCTTAAAGGTGCGTTTCTTACAGTTCCGTAACTTGGAAAGTTTCAGAACTCTGGTGGTCATAGTTTTGCTTCGCTGCACATCTCAGCAAGGCTTCACGAATTCCTCCCCCCGAGCATACGTTTCGCCAATTCTGGACGCAGTTCCGGAATTTTGAGAATCGCAACTGTAACACACACGCCGTAAGAACGAGGGGCAGGCTGCAGGTGACATTGTCTGCGTCATTGACGAGGGGGGGTGGGGGGGAGAGGGTGGTATCAGTGTCAGCTCTGAATTGTACGCTAATTGGTTGTAGTGGACTCGCCTTGTTCTGGGTTCTTTGATTGGTTCTGGTCTCTAGGCTGCGGGGGGTACGTGGGGGGGTACTGTGGGGGACCAGGTTCCGAGGTGCTCTAGCAGGAATATCTCTGGCTGTAGGGGACTCAGCCAAAATTTCTTGGGTTGCGAGGGGTGCGGGGAGGATGTCTCTGGCTGCAGGGGACTTCGCCAAAATTCGCTGGGTTGTGAGGGGTGTGGGGGGGATGTCTCTGGCTGCAGGGGACTTGGCCAAAATTCGCTGGTTGCAGCATGGTTGGGGGGGAGGGGAGGGGGGGCACTTTGCCATCGGCAGGGAAATTTCTGCTAATTTATGAAGATATTGTTTCAGGGTGCATACGCGATATGGCACTGACGCATCAGTGTCGACCCACAACCACACTCTGAAAAATCAGTGTCCTTACATGAAACAACCCTGAAAAACCAGGGTCGACCCCCTCCCCTAGGCTGAAAATTCAGGGTCGGTACATCAAAACACCCTGAAAATGAGCAAAATCAGGAGAAAAATCATGAAATCTCAGGGCCTGAGTCCGGGCATCGCCATTTTGCGACAGCGTTGGTGGGGTCGTTCCTTCCGTTGTGAGGACCCTTACATTCGTGAGGAACGTGCTTGGTTTTTTTGCGAGGGTGCATCCTCGCTATTTTCGCCACCCCTCTTTAAGTTTCAAAACCCTTTGAACCTTGAAGTTATTGTATACTTTCGCTTTAAATGACATTCCAAGAGCGCATCACCTTTTCTTCAAGTTGAAGGGAGCTGTGTTGCTGTAACGATTGCCGCCGCTTCTGCTGCAAAAATTGCCGACACTTCAGACACTCAACCGAACGTACCAGGCTAAGGGCATGTGAATTATTGCAAAAATGCTGAAGCCGTACCAGAAATACGTACAGCAAGTACTTATCGGCTAACTTTGAGAGTTCGAAAAACAGCCCCCAAAATTACAGTTTCCGACGCTGGATTTTGGAATATGTCAAGAGTACAACGCGGTACGTACTCGCGGTATGTGCACAGTCAAGAGATGGCGAGCCACTGTCACATGTTCGCTAAGGGGCTGCGACGTCAGCGAGAAATCACGGCTCGCAAAGCTAATTCTGGAAACCTAGTGCACGATTAAGTCACCTAGACGAAATTGGGGATGACATCGTATGGTTGGGGTCGCGATTAGCGTCTCAGCTGAATTGACCAACTCCGATTCGGCGCGACAACTTTGTTTTCGCAATTTACTGCATTAGCGTGTCGCACGTCGTCGATGTGACAACGTGTGCGTCAAGAGGATGTCAAGTTCGGACTCCGGTCTGGCAGGGTCGTATGTTCCAGAACGAACCAAGTGATTTTAACGGGACGTACTATTTTGTGAGCCGTAATACCAGAGGGTTTGGCGAAACTGTTCGTCAATGTCGCGAGGCCGGTAACCCGCCAAAATTGCGTACCCTCCTCTTGGCACGTTCCATACCTGACACACCCTAACGAACCAATGGACCACATCCCTACGGTGAACCTTGGGGGACCACTCACTAGAGGCGACTTGCTAAGTTAACCCCAGTGGGCGCAGCTGCGCCCTGCCATTCGACCGTCCCAAGCGGACCATCGACCAGCGGTGCGCACGACACTCCCGGCTGACCCACACTTCAGACCTGGCCCAAGCGCCAGGAACCAAAACGGCTCCACACGCCATGTATTAAAACCCAGGTCCCAACTTACAAGCCGCGAAAAGAGTGCGCGACTCGAGTTGGGGCGAGAGTTTTCCGATTGGGTGCGAGGGTGGCGAGGGCTCAAATTCTTAAAACTGGCTTGCGACTATCGCAAATACAAATTTGAACTTCGCAAACCAAAACTCAAACGAGGTTGGGAAAGGAAAGCGGGGAACGAGGAAAGCACAACAGATGGTAAAACAACACTACATAAACTAGGCTAACGTGTCACAGCATCAAGCAGCCGCACTGCGGCAAACGCGCTGCACACAACCAAGAGCAACCA